CCTAACGACCCCGAGGCTGCCGCGGCTGGGTTGTTCTCAGATCCGCTCCTAGGACGTCGGAGCCGGGGTCTCCGCGGCCTGCGCCCTTGGTGGGCGGTGTCTCTCCGAGAAGCCGGGTGCCCTGCCCCCGCCGGCCCCGCGGGGCGCTGGAGGGAGGGTGCCGTTTGGCTGGTCAGCTGGAGGCGCGTTACAAACCCTCCTGCTTTGTGTGGCTTCACTTGGCCGATAGTTCAGTTTCCGTGTGGCTAGTGTTAAAACCTAAGTTTGGGCGTGTCGAGGTGTCTCACACCTGTAATCTCAGCACTTTGGGAGGCTGAGACCGGAGGATCACTTGAGCCCAGGGGTTCGAGATCAGCCTAGGCAACATAGCAAGACCGCGTCTCTAAAAAAAAAAAAAAAATTGTGTGTGTGTGTGTGTGTGTGTGTGTGTGTGTGTGTGTACATTAGCTGGGTGTGGTGGCTCGCGCCTGTAGTCCCAGTACTGGGGAGGCTGAGGTGGGAGGATCACTGGGGCCCAGGAGGTCACGGCTTCAGTGAGCCCTGATGGACAGTGCCACTGCACTCCTACAGGGTGACAGAGTGAGACCCTGTCTCAAAAAACAAAACAAGGATCCTTTGGTAGTTCATTAAAAGTGACGATTGGGTATTCACGCACACACGTATGAGATGTGCCCCTTAAACCTTGTTACCACATGGGCACATTACCCATCTGACAATGAAGAAACAAAACAAAACAAAAACCAAACAACTCCTCCCCCCCTCAAGTTTGCAAACCTTTTTGCTCTGTAGTGACCCTGCTTGGCCATAAAAAATTCTTCAGAAGAATTTTCTGGAAGAAATTTCGAGAACACAACACTTAAGTGTTTCCTACATATGCTTACCCACTTCTCTCCCCCCCCCCTTTTATTTTAATTGTAATTTAGGATTAAATGCAAACTACTAGCAGCTGTTGGAAAAATGCCCATTCTGGAGTCCTGGGGTTTTCCTTTGTTCCTAGGGCTGGAGGCTTTGGGAGGAGTGAGTGGTCTCAAAGGAATGAGCAGACTTCGGGAATCCTCCAAATGCCACTTCATGACTAAGCTTGACTGTTGCCAGGAAAAGTCCAACTTGGATTTCGGCTGCGGCTTTCCCTGCAGCGCTGGTGCTGATTATTCAAAGAGGCAGCTCTTCAAGATCTTCCCATACCTGAGACTTCCCAGGCCCCAGGTCAGAGTCTCCAGTGGAGGAGATCCTGGATCCCTTTTGTCCCCGAGAAAATGGATGTGGAGTGAGAATGCCTGGGTTTGTGTACCCCTACGCATCTGATTTCTCCGTGTGGTCAACAGACCTTCAGTAGTGCTTAGTGTATGTCCTAGGCCTGGGGATTTAGGGATTAAAGACTCAGACTCTTCCCTCGAGGAACTCTAGGAGATAGATAAATAAACATTTAAAATCCAGCATGCTTAGTGAATGATAGAGCATGAGCGAGCCTTCCAAGTTCCCCTGGAGTAGTCACAGAATACTTCCTGGAGGAGGCAACATTTGGTAGAAATTTTAAAATGACAATAACACATTGTGACTTTTTAATCTGTACAAAGATTACATTCTTACTGTAGAAGAGTTGGAGCATATAGCAATGTATAAAAGTTATTTATAAACACATGAGCCAAAGATAAACATTTTTGTGTATTACTTTCTAGTCTTTTCATGCATATATAATATACATTTACATAATTGCGATCATACTATTGATAAAATTATGTAGTCATGCACCATGTAACATTTTGGTCAACGATGGATCACATATCCAAAGGTATTTTCATATATAATGGAGTTGAAAAATTCCTATTGCCTAGTGACGTCGTAGCTGTTGTAATGTTGGACGGCAACACTTTACTCACATGTTTGTGGTGATGCTGGTGTAAACATATCTATTGAGATGCCAGTGGTATAGAAACATAGAACATACTCGATAATAAATGACTGTGTTGCTAGTTTATGTATTTGCTGTACTATACTTTTCATTGTTATTTTAGAGTATACTCCTTCTGCTTATTAAAAAATAAAATAAGGCTAGGCGTGGTGGCTCACGCCTATAATCCTGGCACTTTGGGAGGCCGAGGTGAAAGGATTGCCTGAGCCCAGCAGGTTGAGGCTGCGGTGGCCGTGAGCATGCCACTGCACTCCAGCCTGGGTGAGAGGATTGCCTGAGACCAGCCTAGACAACTTGATGAGACCTCACCTCTACAATAAATCAAAAAATTAACCGGGCGTGATGGTGCATGTCTGTAGTTACAGCTGTTTAGAAGGCTAAGGTGGAAGTTTCGCCTGAGCCCAGCAGGTTGAGACTGGGGTGGCCGTGAGCATGCCACTGCACTCCAGCCTGGGTGACAGAGTGAGACTCCAACTAAATAATAATAATAATAATAATAATAAATACATAAAATAAAATAGTCTCAGGCAGGTCCTTCAGGAAGTATTCCAGAAGATGGTGGTGTTATCATAGGCAATGACAGCTCCATACATGTTTCTGCCCCTGAAGACCTTCCCAGTGGGACAAGATGTGGAGTTGGAAGACAGTGACATCGGTGATCCTGACTCTTCGTAGGCCTCGGCTATGCTTTTGTCATAGTTTTAACCAAAAAAATTAAAAAAGAAATCTTGAAAATCAAAAAAAGCTTATAGAATAAGGATATAATGAAAGAAAATATTTTGCGCAGCTATACGACGTGCGCTTTAACCTAAGTGTTATTATAAGAGTCAAAAACTTAAAAAAATTAAAAAGTTAAAAAGGATACTAAGGTTAACTTATTGATGAAAAACATTTTAAATAAATATAGTTAGCTTATGTGTGCAGTGTTTATAAAGTCTACAGTAGTGTACAGGAATGTCCTAGGCCTTCACATTAACTCACTACCCACTCACTGCCTCACCCAGAGCAATTTCCAGTCCTGCAAGCTCCATTCATGGTAAGCACTCTATCCAGGTGTGCTGTTTTTATCTTTTATATTTTTACTGTACCTTTTCTGTGTTTAGATATGTTTAGATATGCAATGGTAATTATAACTTGATTACCATGGCGCTACAATTGCCTGCGGTATTCAGAACGGTAACAAGCAGGTTTGTATCTTAGGAGCAATAGGCTATACCATAGAGCCTAGGTGTGTAGCAAGCTATGCCATCTAGGTTTGTGTAAGTTCACTCTATGATGAAATCGCCTAAGGGTGCGTTTCTCAGAATGTATCCCTGTCATTAAGTGACACAAGACTGTATTCTGTTTTTGTCCCATAATACTGTAAATTTACTAGTTTCTGTGTTATTAAACATTTAACAAGAGTATGTGTTTATTCATTCACTAGTTCTTTTTTCTTTTTCTTTTAACAAGGAACTCTTCAACTGTACTGTATTGTGCCTTCTCTCTTTAATCTGCTGGCAGGACTCAGGACTCTGAGGCCCCATTGAGTGCATCTCTACACGGGAGCGAGGTTTCTAAAACGTTGTGCTATGTGCTGAGGGTACAGTGGTGAAAATGGTCAGCTGGATGGACACTATACCTGCTCTCGT